TTTAAAAAATAAATCACAAACTGTTCTAACAAAAGTAAAGTCTAAATTACTTGACCGATAAAATTTTTATGTGGATTTATATTATTGAAGAGAGGAAGGACTAAAGAAAAAGGGAAGCAATGTGTTAGCAATTTTCACAGGGGTGGAAATTTTTAGAACAAATGACAATATTGAAATACATTGGAATTAAATCAAAAAAATTTAATCATCATCATATATATAAAAAAACTGATCTTTCAATAATGTAATATATAAAAATCTTATTTTCAATACATATAATTTATCTTTAATATTATAAAATACATTATATATATATATATATATATATATATATATATATATATATATATATATGACATTCAAAATCATCACCGCATGTTAAAACAAAATTTGTATTTTTTTTTTTAGTGATTTTATAACATATTTATGTTATAATTTTTTTTTTTTAAATATATTTTATATATATATATATATATATATATATATATATATATATATATATATATATATATATATATATATATATATGTGTGTGTGTTTAGGATATAAAATAAAACATATGCAAATATACACACCCATCAAAAAATTCTACAAAAAATTCATTTTGGCTGACACGTTGCTTCTCCTTTTTCTCTTACGGAAACTGTAAATGCCATTCAACCAGCAGAGTTGCAGTATAACCCCACAGGTGGACGCTAAATATGAACCTGTTCTTTTTTTTTTTTTTCTACCTAAGTTTCACCTACTAATCATCTCGGATTACATATATATATATATATATATATATATTTAAAATCAAATAAATAAATGTACGTATACATATATATATAAGCATATATATTCATATATCTATATATATATACCTATATATATATATATATTATTTTCTTAATTGATTTAAAAAATAAATTTTTTTAAAAATATAATATTGTTCTAATCATGTTTCAAAAATGGAAGCTAAATGCCCCGAATTTAATTTTGTAATTAAATTAAAAGACATTTATTTCGCTTGATGATGAAATGGAACTAATGTCTTTAATTTAATTATATAAATTAAATATATATATATTTATTTAGATTTTATTTTATGGTTAGAATCATTGTAGCAAAAAACATATTTTAAATCAATTAAAGATAATAAATGGTCTGTAAATTTAATTGAGCAATTTTAATAAAAAAAAATATCTATAAGAACACCGGATTATATATTATTAAAAGTGCTCTTTTTATATATATATATATATATATATATATATATATATATATATATATATATATATATATATAATATATAAACAAAAAAAATCTATATTTATTTATTATAAATATAAAGATATATCCTTTGGTTTAAATAAAACTGTGCTCAATGCAAAATAACTGATCTATTAAGCATATATTAATAAAGATGCATAATACTCCACGCCTGCAATAGGTCTCGGAGTTTCATGCACTATGCAATCATCAGGTACAAATGAATTGGTCGTAATCTGGTTAATATTTCTGTATCTTGCGGTTTGGCGGTATAATTATTGCTATTATTAAATATTTGATTACATTATAATCTAAATTTTAAATTTAGGTTCAAACCTACACTTAAAATTGAAATTTCAAAATTAGAAATTCGAATTTCAGTTTGAAATATGGTCATCGCAGAACGCTGTTAGTTAAAACTACGTTAAATGTCAAGGGGGATAACTCTTTTATGCCATGGGTAAGCCATTAAAAAAAACAATAGTTAAGTAGTGATAAAATAATAATAATAATAAATATAATAAAAAATAATAATCTGTGATAAATATCCAGAAACGATTGATCATCTTGTATCAGGTTGCACGGATGTTGGCACCCACTGAATATAAAACCCGACATGACAGAGTGGGCCAATATCTGCACTGGAAAATCTGCAACTTCTACGGGAAGGAAACTGAAAGAAACTGGTATGAACACCACCCAGACCCGGTTACGGAGATAGGACCTGTTACAATTCTATGGGACTACACAATACACACTGACAGAACAATCAAAGCCAACCGGCCAGATATTGTTATTAAAGACCACAAACAAAAAAAAATAATAATAACTTATTGATATGGCAGTCCCTGCTGACTGCAATGTATCTTTGAAGATATTCAAAAGTTGTCAAAATACAAGGACCTTGAAATAGAAATCTCGAAAATGTGGCATATGGGAACATCAACAATCCCTGTTGTAGTTGGAGCCCTAGGACTGGTTGGAAAAGATTGCAGTAGACTAATTGAAGGGATTCCTGGAAGTCCATGCCTCAAGGAGATACAAAAATTGTTCTGACAAGTACAGCCCACACTTTACGAAGGGCTTTATCTATGTAATTTTTTTTTTTTTTTTTGTCAGTGGAAAGTGTCATGACGCCATTTCTAACCTTAGGTCCCTGGGCGGGACCCGGAAAGAAATGTGTAAACGCCAGAAATCAAAGAAAATAATAATAATAATAATAATAATAAAATGTTTATAATAGTTTAAAATGAAGCATAATGCCCTGATTTTAAAGGCTAGCATAATTTTTCTCAACTAAAGCGATAACTGTCTATGAATTAATGACGTTCAAAGGGTTTTCTTATCTCATTGACCAACTCCAGAGTTTCAGCCCCGACGTTAAAGCTAGCAGATATAAATTTGGAATAGTCCGAAGGAGAGGTCGGTATTGTTTAAGTAGGTCATTGAGCCTCGCTTTATCAATTCTGTCTCCTATAGACTAATTGGTTCGGACAGGCATTGGATATAGGAGCTTCTTGTTCCTTCATGGGAAAAAGGAATTGCAAATTGAATTCAAAGAAAATAATAATAACAATAATAATAATAATAATAATAATAATAATAAAACGATGTGTACATAGTGATAGAGTAATAATAATAATAATAATAATAATAATAATTGTAGTAGGCGAGGTGAAGTGTTTCCACTGCATGCGTTGTCTCTTTGTCTCTAGATCAAAGTGATAAAACCAACACCCATCATTGGTTACGAAAGCTTCTGCTGGATCTGCATCAAACAATGTGAAATTTCCGCGGCGATACGATCAGCCTAGTTAAAAAACATCATAATCAGAAGACGTGGCACCCACCGAACAGAAATCTTCATCATCCCAATTTCATTGTGCAGAAAATTCACAACTATCTCGCTGTATATGTTATAGCCTATGAAATTTTCAGCCCACCCTCGTATAAAAAAAAAAATCTCTTGCCTTCTGAAATATAATAGTGACTGCTCATATATGTATAAAATAGCAATAATTAAAAAAAAAAATCCTCTTCCTGGAAAATATTTTTAGTGAACTCAAACATATAAAACAAATATTGATCATCAATAATTTCCCCATCTACATTATCGATAACCAAATAAGATTATTACAACAAAATTTGAATGCTAAAAATACAGCAAAAGAAAGCATATTTTGTATAACCAGATACAGAAAAATTATTAACAAGATGAATTCACGCATCATCATTCTTTTAGCAACCGTTCTCCCCAAAGAGAAATCATTAGCTATTTCAAAATTAAAAACTTCCGACCGTATAACTATCAATAATAACACGCCTATCAAATCAATTTCGCTGTCTTGTACAGGACTATGACTTGTAAACAGAATGAATACATTAGCCACATAATCGGCGCCATAAGGCGTACATGAACAAACCATTTAAACGATGAAGACGCACTGAAACATCTATACAGAACTAGCTTAATAATTCATATAGATATCACTGTCATTTTAAGAATACAAAATTGTAATAGACGTCTTAAGATAATTGAAACACTCTATATTAATATAAGACTGTTTAAGAAGGTTCAACTTTACCTTATTTGAAAATGGAAAGAGCGCGTTGGTGGTCTTTTACAGACATCTTTAATATGGGAGACCTTCTACTTCCAACAAGCAATGATTTTTGAATTACTCTAATAAAACTTCAAACATAAAGACAGGAGCAGATACTAATAAAAAAACATAAAAATAAATACTTAAAACAAAAAAAAATCCTAGTTTCAACAGATGTTTGTCTTTTGGATGAATGTAAGAACATTAGAAAAACTGAATAGAAATGCTTTCCTTGTTCATCATTCAATGAATCGTGAAATATATATATATATATGAATAGTAATACTCGGTTGAAAAACCTTGGTCAGTTCAACTTGTCATGGAACAAATTGGTAGCCGAGGAAAAAGTTGAAAATAAAAAAAGAAAGAACCAAGAATATTACACTGTAGGAATCCTCTCGTCAAGTGCTTAATGTCCAAAGAAAACCAAAAACCAAAACGAGTAAATGACTAAAGGTAAAGTGTTCAATAAATCTATTGAATTCAAATAAAAAAATTTTAAGGAACAAGGCAAATCTATGAAGGTTTCAAAAAACGGATCTTCACAATTTTTTTTCATTGGCCAAGAATGAGTTTTAAGTTGAAGGAGAAAAAGTTTATGGAAAAAAAACTATTTATTTTGGTTATATATATATATATATATATATATATATATATATATATATATATATATATATATATAAATCTTTCCCATAGATTTGAAGGCAAAAGGAGGAATTTTTCATCGAAAATTAAATGGATTTTATCTCCTGACACAATGGATAATAAAATAAGCAAGACACGGCAAATGAATAGATGGGTATTATTATATTAGATTACCTCGAAATTTAGGATAGAACTTAATTTATATATATATATATATATATATTTAAAATTTTATAACGTTAGATAATTAGCTCGTTAGATAGATACATACATAGATATGAACAGAGATAGATAGATAGATAGATAGATAGATAGATAGATAGATAGATAGATTTGATAAAGATGACCAGATATGTTTTTAGATATGAAAAGACAGAATAGATAAATAGATGGAGATAGATAGATAAATAACAAGAAAAAAATCAATTAGTTCCTTTGATAAGCTAGCTGTTTTATAGATTTTATTAATATTTAATTTGATAATACATACATTTTACAAGATTAGATAGATAGATAGATAGATAAATAGATAGATAACGTAGATAGATTTGAAGATAGATAAAAAGGACTGAGATTATAGATAGATAGATAGATAGATAGATAATAGATATTCTTAAAAGAGTTAGATAGATGGATTGATAGATATGAAGAATTCAAAGATAGATAGATAGATAGATAGATATAGACCGTGCCAGTCATTGTTTGAGACACTTTTTAAGAGATTATATTGATTATTTCCTCAATTTAACATTTCAACGCTGGACGAAGGTCATGTTGTCCAAAATGAGTTGACATGATCTGTACTCATTCACCCCTCAGCTCTGAAATGTCTCCTAGAATGCACTCCAATGAAACATATGGCTGGAAAAAATGGAATTTATTTACCATTTTCTTCGAGGTTTTTACACAGTGCCGTGCCAGTAACATTTCATATCTTCTTACAGAAAAGCTTTTTTTTTTCTCCAGACAGTCTGAAATTGGAGAAGTGTATCTAAATATTTGCTTAACTTAACTTGGTCTGGCATAAGACTATAGCTGTAGGAGGCCTAGCATACGATGAGAAACAGATTTAATGTGGGCGATCATATTTGAACCGAATCTAGATTATTAATTTCTGGAGTTTTTAAATTCTAACCGTTATGGTTAAGTTAAATTGGGTTAGTAGATTTAATCACATTTCAAGCATTAATGATTCCTTTAATGTCATATGAAATTGTAAAAAAAATTGTAATAAAGGTGCCTGCAATGGATTTTCATAGTCAAAATATTACCAGCAATATATTTTTGTAAGGAAAAAATATTACCAGCAATACATATTTGTAAAAGAAATTAGTAATGCCAACAAGTAAAAGAAATTTTGGCATCAAATAACCCATAAGGATGTTGATATGCCGATAAACAAACAAAACAAAGAAACAATCATACAATGTCTACATTATCGGCTTTTTTTCTTACTATCTTTTATTTTATCTTTGAGTCCAGAGATATGTTTATATTGAATAAAATGGCTTTAGTTTAGCCATCCTGCATTAATTAACATCAATTTTAAAAAAATGTTTTTATATAATTATAATATATATATATATTATTTATATAACAATGATATTGAAATATATCGTTATCAAACGTTAAATAGATAGATAGATATGAAGGGATGTAGATAGATAGATGATAATAAATATGTGATAAAATAGACATGAAAAGACTGAGATAGATGTAGATAGATATGATTAATGATAGATATATATGGGGATACTCTTGATAGATAGATAGATAGATAGATAATATGAAATAGATAGATATTAGATATGAAAGATTTTCTTTATAGATATGAAAAGACTGAGATAGACAGATAGATAGATATGAAGAAACTGAGATAGATAATGATATGAACAGATTAAATAGATAGATAGAATTTATATAGATAGATAGATAGATAGATAGATAGTTTAGATATGATATGAAGAGACTGATAAATATATATGATATTTAATAAATTTATAGCTAGATAGATTTTATATAGATAGATATGAAGAGATTGTGATATATCGATCGATCGATCGATCGATAGATAGATAGATATGAAATGATTGTGATAGATAGATATGAAACGACTGAGATAGACATATAGATAGATATGAAGAGACTGAGATAGATAGATAGATAGATAGATAGATAGATAGATAGATAGATAGATAGATGTTCTGTCGATGCCATGTTGAGCAGAGCGACGACAGGTGATTTTCCTCAGGGAACGAAATTAAGATTTTAAAAATTCATAACCTTTTAATTTCAAAAAGGATAAATTTACAATAATCTCCCCCCTGTTTGTCAGTCTGTTTATATATAAAGTAATATATATATATATATATATATATATAAATATATATATATATATATATATATATATATATATATATATATATATATATATATATTTTTGTGTGTGTGTGTGTGTGTGTACAGATATATAAAAAATTAAAATATTAAGTCCCATCAATAATGGTAACAGTCTGTTTTATGATAAAAAAAAATCGTCAAATCTGAGGATTGATATATACATATTTTATAACCAATAACTGTTTTTAAGTTAGACTTCAATTCTTGTAAATATATTTATATTTACGCTCAGTCCCCTTGAAAATGGGCACTTTAACTCATAAATATAGCTTACCTTAGAACTATATTTTTTAAAAAATACTTTTCAACATATATATATATATATATATATATATATATATTTTTTTTGTTTATTTTGTTTAAGCGTTATTTTCAATTGGGTACTCATATCCGAAAAAAGAAGATTTTTTTTTTTTTTAATTGAACACCATTTGTCATCCAACTACATCTGCGGTCCAGAATATTAGAGATATCTTGACAGAAAAATACCCCTCCTCCGGATAAAAAAAATACTGTTTAATTAAAAATTGAATTTCTCTCAGATATGAACGTCCACCAAAAATAACGTTTAAACAAAAATAAATTAAAAATAACAATATGTCGAACTTAGTTCATTTCCCCATATATATATATATATATATATATATATATATATATATATATTGATTTATAAAAATATTAAAAAAATTAAAATTTCAGACACATTGGGTTTGTATATTTATATTCTTTCGTTTTTATTATTATTTCAGTTAGATTCCTCGACTAGTTTCGGCCAAATTAGCCATCATCAGTAGAAATAAAAATTTCATTTGCTGATTTTAATTATATAAATGAATGTCTTGATGGAGAAAATGAACTTTTTCAGACAAGTTTTCATTTGTTTTTTTTTTTTTTTTTTGAATCAATTTAGGTCAGTCCTTTCCATGTTGGTGAAACAGTCTCTTAAGTTGTTATTTAAGTTAAGAAAATGGATGGATTCATGCTGCTCTGAATTTCTTTGGTCATTTTAGGAGTTTTATTGGTTCCTGGAAATATTATGTGTCTCTGCTATATGTATATATATGTTATTTGGTTCTTAAGAAGTGAGTCAGTATAGTTTAAGCTTTGAACCGCTGTAGCTTAGAAATAATTCTTCGAAATATAAAATGTATAGAAACGATAGTGGCCAGAAAGTGAGGGATCATTTTCTATATATATTGTCATACATAATTGATCCCCCACTTCATACTCACATGTTGATTTCTTGTTTTTTTTTTGTTTTTTTGTTTTTTAATTCCGATTAGGTAGGAATCTGCCTCTTCTCCCCTATCTATGGGTTAATTAGTAAGACTTGTATCACTAAATCATTATCATGTCAAAATTTTTTTTTTTAATTCCTGGAATAAATAACTTGCAAAATGTTGATAAGTCGAAGAAAACGAATCAATTAAAGCCAATTTCGGCACAACAAGTCTTGATTCTTCATGAATAGACTTAAAAAGAATGAGATGTGGTTCTATTAAGAACACCATGGACACAGTATATAAGCAACGTGAAAGATCTAATTTTGGTTTGGTTTGGTTTGTTTTACGGTATATCAACCTCAATAGGTTATTTAATGCCGACAATTTTTATTGCCGGTAATATTTTGTTTTGTCAAAAATTTATTTCTGGTAATATTTTTCCTTCAAAAATGTATTGCTGGTAATAATTTTTTTTCAAAAAATTTTTGGTAATATTTTTTTTCAAAAATTTAGCTGGTAATATATTTTTAATGTATCTCTGGTATAAAAAAAAAAATTTTTTGGTTTCATAGTATTTTTAAACTCAGTTTCATGGTTGTTAACTGTTTTCCCTTAAAACATGGGACCCTAAAATATGATTTTTTCTAAATCAGGAAATTTACCTAAAACACTAATTTTATTTTTGATTCGGTTCCACGCTCCTCACAAAATATCTTCATTAGAGGTCTTGCTGTTGGACGTAGTTTATCATCTTACACAGCACGCGCGAAGGATCTAACGAAAATATGAAATACAAGGACACTTATAGTTACAATAGCAAAGAGACCATTGAAAATTCTGGGACGCATTACGAGGAAAGACGGTCTGTGAAACTGACACCCGTATGAAGGCAAGAGACGCGAACGGCAACAATAAGTCACTAATTTAATGAGTTTGCGTAAATGAACGACAGGAGAAGAACAATTTAAATCGTCAAAAATCATTTACAACATTTTGGAAAACCAATGAGAGCTCTTTTGCTTACGCTTCGAAGGGGCATGTCAAATAACAGTAGAAGAAAACGTACAGTTTTAAATGCATTTTTTTCTGTACTGAAATAAGGAATGCTGGGGAAAACGAATGAGTAATGCAATTCCACGTCACAAAGGAATGTTTATAACTTGAAGCCATCGAACAGCTGCAGTTCATCTTATGTAACAGAAAAACAAATACAAAAATTTTGACACACACACACACACACAAAACACACACACACACACAAACACAGAACATTCACACAATTCACATTATTTTAAAAAATTAACAAAAATTGTTCAAATTGTAAAAGCAAAATTGTCCAATTGTTAGATTTTTAGTTTGAACTGTTGTATCTTAGAAATGATTAAAGATGTATTACTGGAATTCTCCGATATTTTTTATAACACTATGGACTCTACTTTTGTGCAAATCTTAGAATGTATAATTACTCTCCAAAAGCAGAAGAATTTGAATAAATAATAGAATCATAAACGAAAATGACTTGTTCAATTCTTAATTAACCATAGCTAAGGATCGAAATAAAATTTTTCCCAGGATTGAAATAAACAAAAACAAATATATATATATATATATATATATATATGAAAAGTTCAGGATATATATATATATATATATAAAATATATATATATATATATATATATATATATATATATATATATATATATATATATATATATATATATTATTCTAGGATCACTTATTCCATACTTATTCAAAATAAATTTTCTTCTCTCTAACCTTCTAACTTTCTTTCCTGTAGTAAAAAAAGTGTTTTTGATGTTTCATTTTCAATACGATGCTCATTGGAGTATCATAGCTGAAACTCCTCTCTTAAGGGTCAAACATCTTATGGATTGAGTTGGATCTTTTCTAATTGATGTTTTTACCTCTAAGTTGAAATGATGAACCCTGTTCCTGTTTTGACCTCCTGATAAAATTTTCCTCTCTACTGTTCCCTCTTTTTTAAACTTATTCACCGTTCTCTTGATGGTTCTTTAAGGAACATGGAGATTGAAGCCAGAGTATGAATGTTGGTACCATTACGAGAGGCCTGAATGATTTTCCTCTCACCATTGCTCAGTTGAGAAGAGAGTGGGGCTGACACAAAACGATTTTAATCTGTTTTCTTTCTAGCTGAATAAGTCAAAGGGTTTTTCAGTGATTCTTAAACAAATGGTGTCAAGATGGCTAAATTCTTATCTGAAAACCTGGAAAAAAGATACTCAATTATAGTGTTTTTTTTTTAGATATTAAACATTTTGTGGATAGACTATTATGCTGTTTTTTATTTGTACAATTTTGTTGTCACACCCTGTATATATATATATATATATATATATATATATATATATATATATATATATATATATATATATATATATTTTATATCAAATTTAGGTAATCCGTATGGGTAGACCCGAGGAGGATGGTATCCTAGAATCAATTTAAAATTCCAGAGCAGATATATTTTGAATAAAAAGACAGAACTTATTCAAGATTCCATTTAATAAAATTTCACCAAAAAAACAAAAGGTTTGAAAAGCTAACAACATTTAATATCTTTATAAATTGATATTCTATATTATTATATATATATATATATATATATATATATATATATATATATATATATATATATATATAACCTTTTGCAGTTTTTCCTTTATATAAGCAAGATATTAACATTTTAAAATATAGGTCAAAAATTTTAAATCGGAATTTTTTCTTGAACCAGAAACTAAAAATACTATCACTACTACTAGATTCTCATTGCAACGTCTTTTTTATTCTACTTTCTCTTTCTTTTTTCTTTACTTTTTTCTCTTTTCCTCCTCCTCCTCCTCCTCCTCCTCTTCCTTTTTTTATTTTTTATGTTTAAAAATTTTATCCTCTATTTCATTTCTTCACACCACTGTGTTGACAAGGCCTACAATTTTAAACTTTCCGTGGATCGAAACACCTTTTTAATTTTATAATCTTTTTAAATATTCTTTTAATATATATATATATATATATATATATAAAAATAATTTTTAAAATTGTAATTAATTAAAATGTTTCCTAACCTAAAGACCTCCCTTTAGTTTGTACACGCAAAAAAAAAGAATCCAATAAAACACCTACAGTAAAATGAAATTAATATGTAATGCTACAAGATATAAGCGTCATTGAATGACCCATGTCCTTTTACTTACATGAGAAAAAATATATTACTAGGTTTATATAAAAATAAATAAATAAATAAATAAAATAAAAGTTTAAAAATCAGTGAAAATTAATAAGTAGCTATTTTTGCCGTCATTGACATAAATTTTACTTAAATAATATTTAAATTTAAAAAAAAAATTTGACCTAATAATATATCATCTTATACTTGATGTGAAAATAATTCTACATACTGTAAAGGATTCTAATTACATTTAATTGTTCTTAAAAAAAATATATATATTAAAAAATTAAAAATTAAAAATGAAAATATTTCAAATCGTAGTTAAATAAAAAAGATTCTAAACCTAAACACCACCCAAGAAAAATTAAATAT